AAAAAAAAAAAAAAAAAAAAAAAACCCAGGTGAGCACAGGATCCGAGCCGGGCGGGTGAGTGTTCGTCTCCTCCGTGTGGGAGAGGGTGAAGCAGAGGAGGACCAAGCCCCTAGGTACTTCCCTTTCAGTTCGGTTGCGGGTATGGACGGACGGACGGACGGACGGACTAGGTAGGTAGGTAGCGAGCGAGCTACCAGCGGACCGAGACGGTGCTGGCTATGTGTACTCTTCTATCTAGGTACTCTTTCTCGCCCCTCCGACTTAACCGTATCGATCTCAATGTGGCGGCTTGAGGAATTGATTGGTTGATGGATTGATTGACTGACTGACTGACTGGTGACCAAGCCGTCGCACTCGCTCTCGCACTCTGTTGCTGCGTCGAGAGACTCTACATACACACATACCCGCTTATATGTAAAAGAGTCATTGGAGCTAGCGGAACAAATTGAACTAATCGGACTTGAGTAAATATACACACTAGAAAAGAGAGAAGAGAAGGAAAGGAAGGCCGAACGCGCTGCGCCGGCCCGGCCCGCTCGCTTAGCGTATTTATTCATCCATGACACACCTGCTCCATCCTAACCAAGCAGACCCGGCCCGCTCCCTATCTTCCTCTCTGGCTTTTCTGAACCCCCATCCCCGGCCGAATCTTCCCTTTATACCTCCTCGCCTTCTCCATCATTGCTCTCTCAGCCTCGTCCTCGTAATCTCCCTCCTCTCCCAAGGCTCCAACCTCGACCCCCCCTTCTCTATCCTCAGCCGAAGTAGCCTCGCGCCCCCCAACGACCATCTCCATCTCGTTCCTGAGTTTACTGCTGCCGGTGAACATGTATGAGCTTGTGCTAGGTTTGATGAGTAGCTGATTCTTGGCGGCCATGTTCGATGGGTTGCGGATGCCGTTTTCTTGGTCCATATCGGGACTTAGACGTAGGTCTGCGTCGAGATCGCGCGTCGTGGTGTTGATTCTTGGTGCGAATTTTGGAGCTGAAGTATATGTCGATGTCGAGTATACTGAGCTCCTCCTACTATAAGCGGACCACGGCCTTGCGTGGGGGTCATGCCGCAAAAGAGATACATTTCCGCCCTCCATGTCTTTCATAACGGAACTCGCCACAGACAACGGCCTCGCTCGTATCTTCTCTCCATCTTGAATGTCGAAGGCCGAATAGACGCGGTCAATGTTGTTTTCTGAGCGCGGTCTAAAAAATGGTTTCCTCTGCTCCTGATCCCCAGTCCCCTCGAAATAACCACTCAAACCACGAGCTCTCGGGCCAGTGCACGTTTTTGGAATAACCAGGGTCCAGGTGGGTGTATTCGGGCTGGGTGGGAAGTACTGCGGCAGCCCATTCAAGATGCTTCCAGAGTACAAACTCGACGAGCGGTTCGCACGTAGCGGAGCGAACGACGGTTCCGGCATCGCGAGGCGATATCCGTCACTCGCAACTGCCATATTGTCAGAGGAGTAAATGGGCTGTGCCATTGGTAGTCCGTAGTCTTGTTTTTCTCTCTCGCGTTGAGAGAGCAGCTCTTCGAGATTTGCCTTGACCTTCCACGGCTTGAGGAATCTGAAAGAGGAGGGAGCCCCTCTAATGGAGCGGTGCCGGGGTTCACGGCGTGCCTTGCGACAAAAGTAAAGTATTACGAGAATTGCGAGGACAAGGACAACCCCGCCTATGACACCACCGGTCTGAGAGAAGTCACGGGAGTTTCTAGGCACAAGACTTCCGTTGGTGTCTGGGAGAGAGGTGCCAAGAGAGTCGGGAAGCTGGGAGCCGGCGGGTGGTGAGATTGCCGATTTTGGTGATGGCGAGGATGTAGGGTCCTGGAACGTTGTAGACGTTTGTAGAGTTGTAGTGAGAAGAGGGCTCGGGAGAGATAGAGTAACTGGACTTGAAGAATAGACGCTTGGCTTTGTTGCTTCCTGAGACTGGGTAGATATCGAAGATTGGAAGGAGCTGGCACGAGGCGATATTGAGGTTGCTGCTACTGTAGGACGATGGCAACCTACAAGCCCCTTCTCGGGTACCGTGAGAATCGCTCCGGCATGGCGATTGATTTCGTTGCAAAGATCAATAGCCATAACTTATGTAAGCTCTGGAAGATATGAAAGGAGCATGTGAGTCAGGTCTACAGACAGCTGATTTGCGAACCGGCGTCGAGTGAAGAACAGACAAGTGATCTTGAATAAAAATTTGGCCAGCAAGAATGCCTTTCCGCCTTGGGGCCATGAAGAATATATGGAAGTGAAAGACGCGCCTTACGAAACATATGGTGTGGATGATGGGCGAGCAGGATTCCAAAATCCGAAGTCTGAGAGGTGACTTCCCGCTGCCAGATTGTTGTTTTAAGGAAAGGATCTTCGTAGCTGGTCTCCTCGTTGACTTGATGTGTCTAGTCTTGTTTCTTAGGTCAAAACAACGGGAGGTATTGCGCAACCGTGCGGAAGATTGATGTTCAGATCGCGAATCAGACGCGATTCATCACGCTCGGATGTGAACTTGTCTGGTTCTCGAACCCATACCGTGTGAGCTGGGATCATGGGGAGTAAGTGCGCGTAAACATTCCCGGCAGCATGGGTCCTTAACATAAAGCTTGAATTGTCTGAAGTGACAGTCACCGTTCCCGTACTGCATATCCATGCGATGGAGGTGACATGCTCCAAACAACATCGTCCATAACAATCCCTCGGCATTTGGAGATAACACGCGGCTGGAGATTGACACAAACTTCCTCAGGAATCGTTGAGGAATTCCAATGGCTCAGTCTACGTGCTTCCCCGGGCGCTTTGACGGGAGGAACTACCCGCAAGCAGGCTGAAGCAGTAGGATGATGTTGGGTGACCACAATTGAGGGTAGCCCATGTTTCCCATCGACGAAAAAAGAATTGCATGCTGGGTACTAACTAATTCAGCTGAACAATAGGTGAAGCCGACACGCGCGGAAACAAATTCCTTGAATGGCAGTGAAGTGTTCCAAGAAAGCCCTGATTGCAAGTTGGCACTGGTGCACACGGCATGGAGATAGACATGGCGATCATCTTGTGACCAACAGCGCCTGCGCCATCGCATGGAAAAAAAAGAATCTCATGTTGAACAATGAGCATTCAGTCTGCTCACTATTTATGAATAGAGTAGACTCCTTCCATTGTGTCTCCACGCCACCGAGTGAGGGACGCCAACAGTTTCAACTGTCCAGTGTTTAATAAACACCGAAGCCATGGGATAACAAAATGGAATGAATTGTGGGTGATGAGACGCTATGGTTAGAGCTCTGTGTACCTGTGCACCTGTGCATCGATTGAAAGTGGATGGACGATGTTGTTGATGTCGTCGTGGATAAGTTGATGTCGACGACGCTGAGAAGTTGATAGAGAGATCCAATGACCGGAACGCAGGGACCAGCACTACCAAGCTCCGTACGGTGCCAGTATTCCTTGGCAAAATGACGAAGCTGGACGGGCCGAGGCTTCTCTTCCATCTTGTCTTCCTTATTTCTTCCTCTTCACTTCCTCCAAATTACTTCACTCTGCTCTCTTGACTTCTAACACCTACAAAATCTCCTTCTCACCTTGCCGTCGCTCCCCAGCCCAAGTCCCAAGTCCATAAACAACCCCAGTTTCGCAACGCAATACACCCAAGTTCCATTGCCACTGTGCACAGGAGACAGACAGAGCCACGATGACCTCCTACCTCTCCCGTTTAAGTCCTGTCCCAGGATTTCCCGAATATACCGGCCCTTATAAAGTTGGTACCATCGATGTCGAGATACCCGTCACTGAATTAGAGTCGCCGAGCCCTGCGCCGGTAAACCATATTTCTACAGTCCAGTACCGCATCTTCTATCCCTGCGAGCCAGATGCGAGTGGCAAGCCTGTCAGTTGGATCCCGAACCCACAGCAAGGCTATATATCTGCATATACACGGTTCCTAGGCGCGGGCTCTAAGTTGGCAGAGGTTATTTCGTGAGTTATCTTACTTCTTGAATTCTCCTTTAACACTGCTAACCACAACAGATACTTCCCTCGTCTCATCTACTACATTTCCATTCCCGTCCGTAAAAATGCTCCTCTCCTCCCGCCTATAACCGCCAATAAAAGATGGCCTGTGATGATCTTCTCTCACGGCCTCGGTGGCTCCAGAAACGCATACTCGCACCTTGTAGGCTCAATCGCCAGTCATGGCATGGTTGTTGTCGCCCCCGAGCATAGAGACGGATCCACCCCCATATCTTACATTCGCGATGTGCCTTCAAACAACAGCCTATCCGGGAAGACTTCCGCAAAGAAATCAAAACGTACAATAGAGTACCAGAAACTTTCGCACACACCTAGCCCCGAAGTGGAAGCTGGACGCAACGCGCAATTGCGAGTGCGACTCTGGGAATTGGGCGTGATCCATGACAGTATTTTAAAATTGGACTTGGGCACCGAACTCACGAACCTGAACACTTCTTCCGCATCCCTCGCGCCCTTCAAAGAAAAAATGGACGTTCATGCCGCCGGGAAAATAACGTTCGCAGGCCACAGTTTCGGCGCAGCAACTGTAGCTCAGTTCGTAAAATCAACATTCTACTCCCCACGCAACGCGTCCGCTCCAAAATCCTACACACCACTCTTCACACCCTCCTCCCGCTCCCCCATTCTATCGCAAATAACGCCGCAGACTCCACTCATCCTACTTGACGTCTGGTGTCTTCCCCTCCGCGCCGATGCCACACGCTGGCTCTGGAACCTTCCATTCCCCTGCTATTGTGAAGGAGGTCCAGGGGGAGCAGCGCTTTTGGCAGTCGAATCCCAAGCATTCTTCAAATGGCGAGACCATCTGAAAGCCACGAAACACTTGCTATCCCCCAATCCCAGCTCCGACGTGTACTCCTTCAAGAACGGAACATGTCCCTTCCCTGAGCCCAACTTCTTCTATGCGGATACCTCAGCGCACCTATCGCAATCTGACTTTGGCGTTCTCTTCCCTTGGATCACCAAGCGTATCTTCGGGTCTGAGGAACCTGAGCGGGTTATGAAGTTGAATGTCCGCGCTATCTTGCAGGTATTGAGAAGAAGCGGTGTGGAAATTAGCGAGACTAGTAAGGAGGATATGGAGTTGGTGGAAACAGAGGGCAAGGAGACGAGAGACGACAAGCTTATTCTTGGGAAGAGGGGGTTGAGGGGCTGGAACTGGATTAGTACCGATGTGGGCGATCTGGGGAATGTGGATGATGGGGAGGAAGTGAACGGGAAAAGGGGAGAGGAGATGACAGAGCCTTGCGAAGCCGTCATCGGCAATGAGGTGTTGACGCAGAAGGAGGGGACTAAAGAACGCTTGTAAAGGCGTAGAAGGATACCGATGATGATGTGCTACTACGAGTTATGGCTTGGTTGGCGTCTGGGATACACTGCATTTGTGAGCATAGGATTCTGCATTGCGATTCTGCGGATTGGGACACTTAACAAGCCGGGCGTGTATAGAGAGAGACAGAGAGACTAGATATATTAGACTCAGACGGAGACAAGGGAAGAAGGCCGGCATTTCATATAGAACTCAGTTCCCAGAGGGTCATCCTCCTTCATGTCAGAGTTTTCGATAGAGTAGCGCCGAGTTCTAATACAAGCTTCATCGACTCATCGTACTTAACTCACCCAGGTAGTCGGGACTTTTAGGCTTTGCTGCCTTGTTGGCATGAAACTATGATATGTACGGAGAGAGCTCTTTGTTCTCTTTTCGGGGCCTTGCTTTTATTAAATGAGGCGGCTATGATGAGGCTTGAAGCTATGATGAGGTTGGTTAAAGATTTATTGTTGTGTAGATTCATAGGTACTGGTCCTGACTGCATAGGTGGTGGTAAGCATCGGATAGATATGTTGAGCTGGACATTTGAAAACGATGTCTCATGAACGAACTTCTCTTGAGTCTTGTCCATGTATACGAGGAAGAAGAAGAGTCCTTTTTTATTCTCTGATGAAACTTCCTTCTTTTCATTTTGAAGACTCTTTGCGAAGATGTCACTGGTATCAATCTCTATCTTTTTATTATTCACCCCCGCCCCCTGGCTTGTTTGAATCATGGCTGTGAATTTTGGGAACTTGCTGAAGTTGGTAAGCAGTTGAAAACATATGTAATCAGCCTTTGCAGAGCCTGTGGTAGTGCAGGAATTAACTCACACAGACCGGAAAAGAAGCACATGACTCCATCACAATCTCAGTTGGTAGTTGGAGTCATTCGAAGAGGGATCAGATGTTGAAGAAGAGGAAAGGTAACGTAGGGGTATAACCTGCGCCTCTCAAGTTTTTCGTAAGTGACGAAGAATTTCAAATTAAAGAAACATCTCTTCTTGCAGCTACGACCGAGAATATTATATGATAGCAAGAAGATAAATGGTAGCAGTTTATTTCTTCTTGCCTCTCTTTGTCTTTGATTGATAGGACCGACGTTTAGTGGATGAAGCCGCTTTTGGGAGCTATTGGAGAAATATAGAGAGGTGGGATATTATGACTGTAAAGGATTATGCAGGAAGATGTCTTCTTGCCTTCCACAAATCGATAGACGCCCAAGACAGGGCTTCCCATTCGTATCTCTTGACTTGCGCCTATTTTCTCCTCCTCAAACTGAAAATAGATCTCAGGTAATATAGCAATACCTGGAGTTATTGTTGTTGTTGTTGTATTTATTTACGTCGGGCGGGTAGCAGGCGAAGCCTGCCGCCCTGGGACCTCCCATGGGGTACGGCGACGTGCTAAGCTAAGGAGTTACATACAAGAAGGCCCCAGAAAGCAATTGATAGTGCTTTAGCGAGGGCTAATTTTGTGTGCGCCCTTCCCCTACAGCAATAACTGGAGTGGTAGGCCCGGAGTAGAATTTTGTATGAGCTGGGAAGGCGTAGACTGACTTGACTGTCTTGATGATTTCAAAAAAATCCACTCTCGTAGAAGCTTTTGAAACTTGAAAGTGTTTCAACGACTGATATCTATGAATTGTCAATAAGCCTTTTTTATTGAACTTTAATCTGCAAGATTGATCGGTAATCTGGAATTTGCATCGGGGTGAAGAGTGATCTTGAGACGGGCTCCCCCAAAACACGGCAGACACTAGAAAGTACCGCCACTGTCCACAGTTCCAAATCTTATTGAGCTGTTTTTCCAAGCCCTCCTTTCAGAGACTTATCCAACTGAGGTTAGGCAGTCTAGTTTCTCTTAGCTGGGCTTTAGTACCCCGATTTGGTGTTATTGAATAAGCGAGGTGAGAAAAGGGGCGTCAGCAAAGTAAGTTTTGTCATGTGACGGGCCGAATCTTTTTTAAACACTTTGGCTTTGGGATCTTGCAGCTAATGAGTGAGTTTAATTGTAACTGAATACCTGTAGAATAAATACAGGTTGTTTATTGATAAGTTAAGCATGTACACCTCGGATTTTGCCAACATGATTCATGCCCACCGTTTACAAATTCGTCTTCCGTGGCCGCAGATACATGCGACATGGAATGTCGAGGTGTGGCCCAAGTGTTTGCCCTGAAAGAGTCGCAATTTCATACCAAAGAACAAGATTGTGGACGTAAATTAAGGGAGCTCTCAGTCTCACTCAAATAATCCTCAACGCTGAGCAGTCCAGACCCAGCGGAGCTTATTTTCCTCTTTCCAAGTTGCTCATTTCTCAGCTGATTCCGAAATCTCAAGAAACATCAGCTTCGATTCAATCGATCCATCTTCGTCTTGCTCTCTTAGGACATCTTCCCCTGCTTTGGCGAGGGCTGCTGTCTTGGATCTAGTCAGGCCTGCAGGTCTTTGAATATTATTCGAGGTTGCTGTCGGCATAGGATTTATAACTTCTTTGAAGACTTGCTCTGTCACATTACCCTCTCTGCGGACATCTTCGTCGACTGGGTAGGGGTGGTCGTCGACTTCATCATCCCAAACGATCGTGCCTCGCGTGATATACCGGTTTCGCGTTGTTGGACTGAGAACCTTGTGACCCTCAACAAACGTACTACCACTCTTTCTAGTAGTGGTGGCCCCATAGGCCACGTTGGCTTTCATGTCAGCAATCCCACCTTTATGGAGTAGACGATTCGACTTGGGAATTGGATCTTCTCCATCGAGGTACTGTTGGTAAATGGATATCTCGCCAGTGAGGACCAAGTGAGTATTTTCGCTGTGATGCTTATGATACCCAAGGCAGATACCCCTAGGAATAAGCCATTAGCACACAGAAATTCGAAGATATCGGGAATCTATAAAATAGGTACTGACTTTTCGACTTTACTGATAGATACCCACGGGTAGCCTCTATCCATAACAGTCTTCTCTTGCTTCGTAAGACTCTGCTGGCCACCTTTGTAGACCCAGCCACCCTTGCTGTCGTTATCAGACATTATGTCTCGCCGTACGAAATGATTGATGTGAAAGTGGGCAGAGTTAAGGATGTTTGGTAAGGAGGATATTGTTAGATAGCTTTGTAGTTTTTCACGTAGCGGCAGGACTAGAATACTTGTAGTCAAGAGGACCAGGATTCTAGCCTTCTCACGCAGATACAGACAGAAGCATGTAGCAAGATGTGGTATCGTCTTTGAGTCCTAACGGGAAATTTGGGAACATCTGACCCTTCCTAGAATCAACGCGCTCGGGAATGATCGTCTCAGTAACCTTTGAAGAGCGATGAAATTTCCTGCAAAGGCCGATGTTCCGGCGAGCATTTGACAACGAAACTGTCTTAGTTGCAGTTTCTGCCTCGATACAATCAAAGCCCGAGACATGTCGGCATCAGCAAGAAGCCAGCCATGCCTGAAACATTCCAAAGAGCAACCTCTTCTTGGCCTTCGGCTCCTGCCTAATTCTGACGGGCGGTAGATCAAAGATATGTCGAGTGGCGCAGAATTGCGAATTTTGTCAAAGAAATTACTGGACTGGGGTTTCAATATATCAAAATACCGATACTGATACTAGCCAAGATTCTATCTCTGTTGAATAGAAAATGGCCCATGGAGCAGAAGGCTCTGAGGTCTTGAATCTAATATGAATTATAATCTCTGTGATTTCTCTCCAGTAAAAGTCCAAATAAAGCCCTGTGCGTGGCATTTGAAGTACGCATGCGAATCCTACTGTCCGATTCTATGGACGACGTCCTGTCTTTCAAAAGCCGGGACAAAAAGAGGTTACGTATCCTTACTGCTACGGACCAAAAACACTCGAAGTTAGCGGTGTACCGTTTGAGATGCAAGGAAATACTCTTGGTCATCGAAGATCTTGCTGAACGAGTATACATCGAAAATCTGGCTATGATCAACCTAGGCTTCCGGCTACTACCTGCGAAGCAGAAGCGCCAATCACTCCATATGTTGAGTGTGAGACTACACTTTAAGTTATTACGAAATCTTGGATTCAATGGGGTCCTTGGAAGACAGAGCTTTAATTTAGTTTGTACTGCAGAGATAGGAGAGATGCCGGCGGGGATAGCAGATGAAATTCGAGCGAAGATCAAGTAGGATACTTTCGAGACCCGGCTACGCCCTCTTGACCTTCTCTACAGGGAAAAGCGAGAGGCGTTTCACTGCGATTCCGATCTCGACTGCTTATATCGTGTTTTTCGGCTCATCATGATATATGACTCTGAAGCTGTCGCTCTTGTCTTCTTATCTCACATCATTGCCTGCCGGAGTAGATGACAGAGTCACCAGCGCGTTGTGCGTGCTTGATGTGTACTAAGTAGGATGACAGATCGTCCTTTAGACCTTCAGTACATTGATCGTAATGGCTAGCTTGTCTCGTCTGTAGTTCCTAGTTGTAGACTTGAAGAAAACTTCTGGAAATAAGGGTTGATTATTCTGATTATGGTTGAGGTTCCACGAAGGTCTCTCGCCTTTCCTGTGAGTCACAGTGGCTTTATGTGCCTGACACCACAACGGTCCTGTTGGTCCGAATCTTGGCGCGACAGCCGCGCAAGCGTGCGCCGCTATCCTTCCGTCCTTTGAGGCTTTCCAACCTTTCAAGACCGCATCAATCCTTGTCTCCGTCCTCGATAAATACTCACACTCCAGAACAAGCAGCGCTACAACCCAAAGCCCGGAGAGGATCGAGTCACATACCACACATGAAGATCGTCCACCCTGACCACCAGCGCCTTGTGCGCGAGCGCGATCAGGCACTCAATCAGTACTTAGAACGCTTGGAGGTCGACTTAGATTTCATGTGCATCGACTTTCGGCTCTGTCGTTTATTGATAGAAAAGTATGAATACTGTGAAATTCTCGAAGAAATTAAGTCTTGCCGGGAATCCGCCTTGATACGGAGGGCTGAGATGATAGCTGCTAATAATTTCATTGCTCGTGGCTTCAAGAAGTTCCGACATCTTCCACCAGAGCTGCGATCTTGTGTGTGGAGTTTGGCATCTCTTGACCATGCCCAAAGCCGAGTCCACATCATTTTCCTGGATACGCAACGGTCGAAATACGTATCCAACCAACATCGTTCGGCGCTCCTCAGAACCTGCTTCGAATCCAGAGCGGAGTACCTCAGATCTACGAAGACCACCTTTGCCTTCGAAAACCACATCAATTTCGAAATTGATACTGTGCTGGTGTGGGAAACCTTCGCTACATACAATGCAGACCAGAATATCCCCGATGACTTCTTAACGACCTGGTTTTCAAATTTCCTCAAATTCCAAGCCACATCACAAATCAAACATCTGGCGCTCGGCGAAGATATTTTCCTTGCCCTCGATCCAGAGGTAGTCAACAGCCTGAGAATTGTCATGCCACAGTGCAGAGAAGTCACTGTTTTGGTGGATGGCACACGATCAACGCTGGAAATCGCTGACCTCAAGCTGACACACTTGTCGGCGAGGCAACAGAGGAAGCTGCTTGCTGTGGTGGAAGTCAGGCACTGGGCCAAGGCTTGTAATCTGTTTGGGCTTAAAAAAGGGAATGGGCGGGAGGACGATTTCCTGAAGATAAGATATGCCATTGCTGAGCCGCTAGAGGAGACCTCCAAAGAGCTTGACGAACAATCAAGTTGTTCTGACGAAGGAGATACCTAGGGCCAGAGGAATCAGCCGACACCCAATCTCCGAAAACTGTGTATCTCTCGCGCTCTTTTTCGTACTCCGTCGTGCCTCCTTCGGGTTTCAGCACAAGCTATTCCTGCTTCTCAATTCGTTGCGAATCTTCTACTGCAATGTGGCATATACCAGAGCACATTGATCGGAAATTATTGATCCTTCACCGGGACTAATTATTTTAGTAGACACAGGTGAGCTATAAATGTCGTGGATTTTATTTTTATGAGCTGACGGACATAGCAGGCTCCAAGGTGACAAATGCATATTGTTGTGGGGCTTTCTAGTGGTTTGGTAATTCTAGAGCTGCATACTGCCAACTTCATACAGAAATCAAGTTTCTAACTCAATTATGTCTTGCAATCTTTGATCCAGAATACGCGTCTCCCAATTATCGTCGACCAGCCCACAAGTCGCGATCTCATCAAACGCCGGATTTCTAGCATTGATAGTCTAGTACCCAAACCCACATCCACCATCTTCAAGAATTTCGGCATTTTATTCCAAGAGTGCAAGTCTCCTATATTCGGGAAGTGCGGGCCTCTACACATCACCTCAGAGTCACCCCATCCCAGCCAGCTGTGAACATGCGCTGGGTACACGACACGATCATCGAGATTCAGAATGATTGGACGGTCTCGGGCTCGGGGTAGGATGTTGTAGGACGAGATGCCTTCGACGAAAACTAACCGGCCCGACCGCAGAGCCAATAGCCTGTTTCCAGCTCGCTCCTCCGTGAATGGCCCACTTGCTCCATGGTATCGTGTCCCATAGCTCACGAAGCTCTATCGGAGGTCTCCACCGGTTACGAGTGGGCTGTGTACGGATCGGAAAATGGCATGAAAACATTACAGTCGTTCTTGAGACTCTCTAGAGTAGTCTCCAGATCAGAATATCTATGAAACATTATGAAAGAGAACTATGAAAGGGGGGAAATAATCACTGCTCGCCGGATCATCATTATTATTGCATGAGCGATCGATTGTAGATGAAAGATTCTTTCTTCTGTCAAGCGAGCTATGCAGAAATCTACGGCGCACCTTCCAATAACGTTATAGTTTGCCTGCAATAAGTCGGCCGTAGTCACGGTATTATCCATAATCATGTAAATCATCGGATTACGGTAGCCGGACGTTGGTGAGACCCGCATATCAGCTTAACTTGGTGATATTAGATCGATGGCTGGTTTCAAAACTCGGCCTGGAATAGCAAGACCTATCGATCTTTCCATACCAGTTCACGGAACCAACTTTCACTCTCTTGCTTTTTCTGTCGACGATGTATCGGCCTTCCCCGTCTTCAGATGTGCCATCTGCACCTTCCTCACCCTGGCCTGGCCTGGCAGATACCTCATCTTCTCCTAGGTGTTCTTGACCTCATAGCGAGTTTGCGGGTGAGTTGGCGGGTCGAAGTAGGGGCTCGCTTAGCGGCACCTGCTCTGACTTTTCGTTCTCAGGGGATAAGCGAATTGGCTGCTACAACAACATTCCGTTAGATTTATTTCCTTTAGGATTAATAGTTAACTCGAGGCTTTAAATTTTATCGAATATACTTACTCGTCTTTAGGAGTTGCGCCTGTTTTTAAGATGGATTATTGGTACGTTCCCCTGATTGTGTTCCCGGGCTCGAGCGCAATAAGCTGGATCTGAGTGAATATTATGGGACGATGGCGGAGAAGTCACTTTCCGCTAGACATATGTCTTCTGGGTTGGGGAATAGTGCATAATCATAGCAGAATAGAGCATCGAGAATCGATGCGCTTTCTCAGGGGAAAGTCAACAACAATAAGCTTAAATAGCCGAAAGACAAACTTGTGGAGTCCATGACGTATCGACCCAAAGCCCAGGGTAACAACCACATCGATGGCTCAACTCTCCACGTACCAACTTCAACCTCCTCCCGTAGCAGCGCTGCGCAGATGAGGTATGTCCGCGAAGCGAATCCGCACGCTCCTCCGCTTCCAAGTCCCTCGTCCGACGCCCACCATCTCGCGATTCTCCACCATGACCTCCCCCTACAAATGCACCCCTCTCCCCCGATCCCTCTACCCGGCCACGATAGCCTACAGCCCACACGACCTCCGCAGACAAGACGAGGGCCCAGATTCAGAATGGTACGCCCAGCCGCGCTTCGTGCAGCACATCGACGCCGGCGCCATCACCGCCCTGAAATCCTACTATGGGGCCATCGTGAAGCCCAGCCACAGTGTGCTGGACCTGTGCAGCAGCTGGGTGTCGCATCTCCCGGACGCCCTCAAGCCACATAGCTTGGTCGGGTACGGGATGAATAGGCAGGAACTCGAGCGCAATGGCCACCTGACGCGGTTCTATGTGAGGGATCTGAATCGGAGCCCGAGCCTGGAGGAAGTGGAGAGCGAGAGCGTGGATGTGCTTATTTGCAACGTGTCGGTGGATTATCTCACCCAGCCGGTGGAGGTGTTCAAGGAGATGAATCGCGTCCTGAGGGTGGGAGGGACGGCACATATGGCGTTCAGCAATCGGTGTTTTCCGACGAAGGTTGTGGGCAGGTGGATGAGGATGAATGACGCGCAGAGGAGGAGGTGGGTTGGAGGCTACTTTTGGGCGAGTGGGGGGTGGGAGGGGGTTGAGGAGTGCATTTTGAGGGAGGGAAAGGGTGGGATTTGGAATGAAGGGGAGGACCCGTTGTTCATTGTCAGAGCGAGGAAGGCTGCCGCTGCTGGGTGAGGACTGGAAGGAAAAACTGTTTTGGCGAAGAACTTGGAAGCTTGAATCACGCCAGATCCGGAATCAATCCGCCGGCCTACCGTCTCCCTCTGGTGGTCATCGATTAAATAGGGGAGGCCTTGATGAAGTGTTTACTTTCAGTCTGGCTGGGGGTGAAAACATCGCCTACAAACCATGCATATCACAAAGTGCTGGCAAATTTATAAGAGTCGGTGAGTGGAGAGGATCTCGCCTCGAAAGAGACAAGGTTAGTTCGCTTCGAGGCCGTTGCGATTGCAACCCAAAATTGTAATTTAATCAAATGGCTAATTGCTAGTTTCAAAATAGGAGCTATTTTACGCATACCGCGCAGCACCAGGCTGCGAAGAATGCGGAGTCGCGATAGCGACACCGATATCTCCTTGATACGGCACATATTGCTCTGTTACCACGCCCTTGTAACTCGTATCGGTCTCGCCCCTGGTGTCCACCCTCTCCGAGTCCCCATCCATCATCACTAGTTCCTCGTCACTCCCGCCCAGAGCGATGCCACGCTCCACCATTATCTTCCGTGTGGCTACGGTCTAGAAGGAACGGGAATCAGTAATTGCCCATTTTGAAAGAGTGGTTTCCGGAGAAGTATAGAAGAAGGGGAAGACACTCTTCCACGTTACCTACCATCTTCTTTCTAATCCACATGCTCGCAAATATTGTAATGATCACGACAATGACTATGGCGGCCACTTTGCCATACTTAGCTGTTTTGGAATTCTTGCTGGATGGGGAACCGAGAGCAACGAAGACCATGGACTTGGGGAGCGACAAGATCACGGTCGCCATGTAGAGCCAAAATTTCATTCCTGTGCAAGCGAAGAGTGGGTTTGCGATATCTAGAGTCTCCTCAGCCATGGCTTTTCTGATAATGTTTGATTGAGGGGCTGCTTACGGGGAGGAACAATCGAGTATCTGATCACCAACACGCCTCGAAAGCCTGCCTCTTGGGTCACGCGAGCTGTAGCTGCCCAGTTTACTTTCTGGGCAATCTTCTTCTCAACCCACCCCGTGAACAAGTACTTGAAGACGACACTGTATCACATCAGTGGATGGCTCTCTCCGGACAAAGTCCTATACATAAGATAGGATGGAAACTTACAAACAGGCCGCCTCTCCTATCACACCGCCCGCACACGCAATGCCCAGCGCAACACCCAGCGGATACGCCAATCCCACAATCAACTGCACAATCTCATGACCGAACAGGGGCGGGAAGCTCAAGATAACAAGAATCGCAGTCGGGATCGTCCAACTCCATGACTCTCTCGCTTCCAGCCAGTCCGAAACCGGTTGCATCCAGCGCTCGAAATCATCTTTGTAGATTTCGAAAAGCACGGCGAAGACTATAGTTATGATACATAGCGGCACGATCCTGTGCTGGAGTCAGCGAAGTGAAGTGAAGTGAAGTGAGCTAGCTACATGGCTTTGGGTGTATGCGATATGTGAGTATATTCTATTTATAGAATTCACATGACCTAGATCCAGGGTGAACCAACCAGTACAGCCTCTTCTGCCACTTCTTGCTGATCTTCCCTTTGGGTGTGAACCCTCGGACAAAGCCCCCCATCGGCTGCCACTTACTCGACGATGTTGACGCCGCATCATGCGAGGGCTGCTGTGGTGCCGGCTGCGATGCATATGCGGAACTCGTCCGAAGTGGGGCTGGATGAGCGTGCAGAATAGAGGGCGGGTCGTAGAGCGTAACCGGCCGAAGCGGCCGAACAGGCGGAACAGGCGGCCTGGATCGCGCATCCCCAATATCATATTCAGGATAAGGAGATCGTCTCTCCGCAAAGGGGTTCTGATGGTTTTGATCTTGGTGGTCGTCCATGGAGGGGTCGTACATGGCGAAAAAAAAAAAACGGAGAAAAGAAGAGCGACGTCGGGGCAGAGCTGCGAAGTAGTATAAGAGAGTTTGGAGATCCTAAGCTTGTTTGCATTCGGCCTCACTTTACGTAAGGCCGCGGCCAAGCCCCGGCTGCGCCTCCTGTTGTGCCATGGATGGATATAGAATAAAATTACACGGCCCTTCAGTGACATATTAATGGATTATGCTTTGTGGCTAGGAGCGATGATGTGCGGATCGCAAGCATTGGTCCTGCTGTCGTGACATCCACCATGCAGTTCATGTTATCCGTAGTACCGGTACTTACCGCATTGGCTTTGCCGAGTGATAACGTTGCAGGAGAAACATCTTCGCTTGTTTATGCTGACTGCCGGTACTGTTTAAACACTGCACATGTACAGTACCCTCATTTACATCCTTATTCGTCTGCTGAATTTATCTAGATCACGGTGTTCCTATCAAATTTCGTTTCGAGCTGCTGGGGAATCACGATCATTGCTACTACGAAATCTCAGCACTCGTGACAAGATACAGTTCTTTGATCATATATATTTTCCTACGAAGCTATCGCCTCAACGAATTCTGATTCGCAGAAACGGGAGAATCTGTTTTAATGGTATGTTCATTTCCGCGTTCATTGCTCCTCCTCGTTCCTTTCCCCAATACCGTACCTACTTTCAGCGAGGACTCGAAAAGTGTTCTAGAACTAATCCATATATATACCGGTATCGATGACGTGCAGTGGTTCATTACCTTCCCGTACCTTGGCCACAGTCCTCCCCACCGCTAACGGTTAATTGACGACCTATTTTCTTTTTATACTACCTCTATCTTTAGAGGCGACAATCTTGTACTGCGCCAAGTGGGTAATTCACTACCATGCGATGCAAAACTGTGTTCACCATGCTAGGTACAAATCCGTCAATTTCATCCGTATCTGCATGTCTGAAGCGGCGCACATCTATGAAGAGATCAAAGTAAATGAGAAGGGGCTTGGGCAAGCGCATTAAGACTCTGTTATCTAGTGAGAGGCACCGGTACATGTCTCTTACTGGTAGCACAAAGTTGCGATTTGAGTTCCATGTGCAATATGCTAATAATAGGAGTGGATCTCACCGTTTTGGGGGCCCTTCCCCAAAGTATCCGCATAGAATGTTTCTGGCGAGAAGAATGTGTCGGTAGTTTTCCATGCCGGAATTGATAGAGTCGAGAGTGTAGAAGGGATTGATTCTAGTACCTATGAGAGTGCTGAGAGAGATTTACCGGTACCGGTACGTGGGAGTAGCCAAGAGGCTAGCTAGTCCATACAGAGGAATAGGTCAAACCCTATAATCCAACAAAATTCAGCCAGAAAAATCGCGACAAACCGCGAAAAATCGGGAAATTTTCTGTTTGTTACTTCAATAACTCAATAACGAATTGTGTCGGATCGCCGGTAGCGATTCCGTGAACGTTCGTAGCTTCGTGAATACTAATGTGCGGCGCACGTAGCTTCTTGCAACTGCAAAACAACGGGTAAGTAAATATGGTACTTGGTTTTCTGTGTCCTCCCCAACGTCCAAGGGAGCTGATTCCTTCTAGACGAATAGAAGCAATCACGTGCACTAGCTATTTAGTAGGTAGTGTTCCTTGCGAAGTTGGGGGTCCCTTGAAGGCGTGCCACGCTAAGCGAGGTGTGCTCATCCGTGCTTGAGATACCCGAACGAGCCACATCTCCCCCAACTGCCTTCGTAGGTCGATATTGATGTAGCGACAAATTGAGATATGAGAAGAAATTCGATCATTTAATCGGCGTAGTCCTTAGCTACTAACGCATCCTATTTTCAAGATTGATTGATCTATTGGCGCGGTTTTTAGTGCTCGAAACATCGATATTTCAAGGGGGTTATAAACGGATTTGGATCGCTAAAATTTGAACACGTCAAATTCTACTTGATTGGTACCGTGAATAAAACAAGACGTAAATAAACTAGCGTGTTATAAATTGATTCCATGAATTAGCACTGTCGTTGAACATCAGGGTGTCAATTTGTCATCATCAAATCTCTTATATAAAACGAATAATGCCATAGAAAGTGCGAAAACAAACACATTTTTTGCGCCCATTTTTAGGAAGAGCCCCAAAATGGCGAGGTCAACTCCCACTATTAGATACTCTACTACACAACCATGAAGTTGTAAAGCTTGATTTTGCTATGGATGTTCATGCTGCTCTTCTTTCCACTACCACTCAGCCGCACGATAAACACCAGATATTTCTTTGCTTGTTGACACTGCGGGTCTGCTGCCAGCTTAGAAGAGGGTCTTTCTACACCTGAGGATTAATACAATTCAGCATGCTTGATAGCATTCAACATGTACGAAATTTCAATAAAGTAAATTGTTGTATTTCACTCACTTCCAGATCCTGCATCTTGCGCCGAGCCGTAATATTTGAAGTTGCACGAAAGAGTTTCCCTAGTCCCGACTATTCATCCTTGGTTGCCATTTTCCGTATAAGAAGGGCCTAGAAATCTATGCCCTTGCAGTCATTGTTAGACGCTGTATAGAAACCATTAGTCGTTTCCAAAGCCCAGACGTGAAACTACCTATCAAGCTCGTCATCAAACTTCAAGACGTTAAAGAGAAGCTGGAAACCTCTTCACCATGCTGGTTGGCCTGGTCCAGGATCAAGTCCCAAGACAGAAAGAAACACCACTCCTTCCAGCTCAGACCGACATCTACACCTGTCAATTCGCGCTCCCGCCTGACACCATTTAGTTCTGCTCCGTGCCTTGGTTCCGGAATGGAGAGTGCATACATACATACATATCCAAGCGAAAGCATGTATCTAGCTATCGATCTATACAAACAACTAGAGAAAAAAATGAAGAAAAAAAAGATAATCAAGTATCTACCTATCCATCTCTCATCCTTTACCAAAGATTAAAAAGTAAGTAAGCACCCTCC